ACATACATTTCCCACAAAGTTCTCATCAAAAACTTGTTGTATTGAGAGCTCAAATGTGGTTGAGTTGACAATAGGAGGTACAGTCGCGCGGTGTGACCACTGGGCCGGCGATTGGCCACAATGTATGGCTCGAGTGGAGATGTGAGACATTATTTTCTTATGAGACAAATACTGACATTTCATTCAACTTATATATTGCCAGATAATTATTGCACACTTCTTCGCAATCAGTGAACAAGTTTTGAGTGATAAGCGAAATGTTAACAATAATTGTTATTCTGAACAATTAATTTTAAAATCATTACTTTATGTAGTTTTATAAAGTAATTTTTATAGAATTACCTATGGTTATGTATCACTTAAGTATAATCTTATTAAAGATATTTATGAATACCAATTGCATTGACAATAGCTTATTGAAATGGCATTGGTTTCATAGATCATATTAATTATATGAATTGCATTAGAAATGAATTGTGGTTAAAAACACTTAAGATAAAAATGTTGCAATAGTAATGTCTTGAATTAAATAATTAATTATACACATTAATGTATTGATAACGATTGAAATAATATGGCATCAGTTATAGCAATATGTTTGAATGGTGTGATTATTTTAGGCAATTAAGCAATGTTTATCAAAACTTGTACTAAATAAGCAATGTAGATACTAGAACTTTATGTGCAAAATGCACTTAATATATTAAATGAATATTATTTCACAATATAATAAAGTGCAACTATCTTACCCCATTATATTGTACATATAAAATACTGTAGAACAATTATTTTAAATGTTAATTTTACAAACTTTTAATTACAGACATTAATTAATTGTAAATAAAAAAGATATATTTTAGAATTATAAGCATTTCAAAGCAAAATACATGATTAAATTGTTAGGCTAACTAAATTAAGACAAATAAAGTTTAGAATTTTATTTCATAACAACAAAAATATTGTAAATTTTTTAAAACAATTTATCAACTTTGCAAGATTATAATTTTATTTATTAAAAAGTATTAGTGGTTTTCTATGATTGTAATCATAAACTTTCATCAAATAGTTAAGAGTACTTTTAAATACCACATTAAAATTAAACCAATATATAATTAATTATTTTTTATAAACAATATCTTCAATAAAATCGGCGATCACTTCCTTATCATTGCTTTCCCTAATCCTATCGCCAATTGATTTCATTCTTTGAGCCAAATCTGAATCGTTAACAAATTTGTCGATTGATGTCAACAATTCCTCTTCAGTGCAATGGAAAGGATTGAGTCTTAAGCCCAGACCGGTCTCCTGCAGGCGCTGTGCGTTGTCGTACTGATCACCAAATAGTGGTAACACAAGCATTGGTTTGCCGTAAAAGAAAGTCTCGGTCACAGTATTGTTGCCGCCGTGTGTTAGCACTAAATCAACTAATGGTAAGATCGCTGTCTGCGGGAGGAATGGTTGGCCCCACATGTTGTCCGGCAGTGAATACTTGTCATGCAGTGGACCTGTATTTACGATAAACTTATGCTTCGATTTACCCAGAATTGTGGTCAACCGTACCATAAGGTCTACTATAGCGCAGCCCATAGAACCCATGGATAGGAGGATCAACTTTCCCGGTCTGTCCCGCAGACATTCCGGTATCTCAAACGTGTCATGAATTGTGCGGACAAAGCCGTCCACTCTATGCCAGTTGTGGGCCAATGGCTGCAACTCTTTGTAATCCAACTCTTTGGGAGTCATATAAATGTTGAGATGTTTGGAGAAGTGATGCAAAAATCTGTTGGATTCGGAGGGCAACGGATCTACGCCTTCGCTGACCACCCATTCATTAACATCTTTGTGAAGATTTTTCCAAATGCTCTCAATTTGTGTCTTAAGTTGAGTCCACTTTTCTCTGCCATCATGTGTTGGTAAACCTATTCGTGAGTTAAATAATAATTTTAATTAATTTTAAGTTTAATTAGGTTTTAATTGATTAACTAACACAACCAATTAATATTAATTTATAATTACAATTAATTTACATACCTAACCAACCAGGCGGTAGATTATCATTATTAAACGTTCCCAACGGACCGGCTGAGTACAGCCATACCCAGGGTATACCGGACTTCATGAGAACCGGCGACGACATATATGAGTCGATGACAATCACATCGGGCTTAACCCTATCTAAAACTGCTTTATACTGGGTCTCTTTCTGGCGTACCTCACCCATCATTGCGCCAAAGGCATGAGCGCAAAATTCAACTATCTTAATAGGTTCCTGGGCAAATATCTGGCTATTCTCGTTTAACATGATAAATATTGGGTCAACAGCACCCGGCGGTAGTTCGCTGTTCTCTGAGTACATGTGCTCCTCTTCGAAGCCGTGAGGGGTCAGTCGTCCGGCAAATTTCTTGTCGACGGCGAACACTACCCGATGGCCGCGATCTCTGAGCCGTTCGGCCAACCCGTGGCACCCGTTTATGTGTCCGAAGCCCTCCATCGGCGCGAACAGCACTGTTAGGCTCTTCTGGTTTGACATTCTTGTTATTATTAGTTATGTTTAATTATAATTATTATTTTATATTAGTTAATTAGTATTATATTTGATTTATTACAACAATTTACTTAATAGTTGACAATTTAACTTATTTGTTTTATATTTATGGGCGTTATATTCACTTAAGATAATTTTAATCGACTTTGTACTTTATTATCAACTATATAAATACAATCTACTTTTGTTAAAATTATTAACTAAAAATAAATATTTTAAAATATATTTTAAATATTTAAAAACCCTGTGAATATTTTACAAGATAAATACAAATTAAATTTAAATTATTTAAAATCAATTCAATTTAATTTAAATTAATGATCAAACCAACAACAAATAAACTTGTTAACTAACTAAAAACAATATATTAGAATGCATGTCAGTTAATAGAAAATGTTTGGCACGTTTGTTCATTTTACTCAGAGCCTATTCAATGACTATATATTATTTTCACAACTTTATTCTTACAATTACAAACTATTACATTATTTTCCTCAATTACTATGATAGAATATTGTAAATGTTAGTATTGTTAAAATAGTTAAATAATTTAACATAATTGAAGCAATTATATTTAAATATTTAAAATAGTAATCGCTAGTGCCTAACAAGGAAATAGCTATTAATGTGATAATTTTTTTGTGTATCTCTTTCAGTACTTTTAAATATAATTATTAATTTATTGAAATGTGTAATTAATGATTGATAGCTTGGTTGATATAGTCAATTATTTTAAATGATTTTAGTTTGTTTAACCAAGGACATTTATAAATATAATCAAATTTCTTTAATACTGTGTGCATAGATATGTGAGCAAGATCTATGTTGAGCAGCATCACGATTTCATGTAGATGAGGGAAATTACCATGGTAACAATAAACTATACGCGTATGCGTTCATATCATCAATAGCCTAACCTAATAACTGTCACCTACATAAAATAGTGCTGCTCAACATAGATCTTGCTCACATATCTATGCGCGCAGTAATTAATAAGTACCTAAAAGTTTTAAAATTTTTGTTTGATTATTATTTGCCATAAACTTAATATGGACATTATTATTTGCATAATATTAAATCATATGATTTAAACATGGTCATAAAAAGTCATCGTTCTTATAATTTAATATTATATAATTTTAATTTTAGTACATCGGAATAATATTGTATGCATGTATTCATGATGATAACGTTATCAAAGTTATATAACTTATTATAATAATCGCTATAAGAACTACACTGTATGTACTTATATTTAATTGTGTAATAAAATGACAAAAATTGTGATAAGTTTTGGCGACTAAATTGACATTTGTTTTATTGATTATAACTGAACTCATAGACTGAATAATTTGCTAATGATCTCGTTGTAACTTTTTTAAAATTATATACAAATGTATTGGCAACACATCCGCACTATTTAATACATTTATAATGTTTATGTAATAATTGATATGAAAAAACATTTGACTATTTTAACAGCACATTCACCCTAATAAATGTCTGTACAGTCTATGAAATATTTAAGCTTGATAAAATGTAGTCATGAAACTAACGAAAATATAATGTTTTATACTAACCATAAGTTTGTCAGACATGTGAATATAATTGTTGTCAATTTAATTTATTAACAAATATAAACTTATAAAATAATTTAATATAATTTAGTTTGTATTTTAATTATAATTAATTAACAATAAATTATTCTTCTGTACAAAAAAATGCAATTATAAAAATAAACTTATTTACACAAAATATTATTTTTAATTAAACATAATTTTCACACATGATATTAATTAAAACCGTATTAACAAAACAATATTGTTTGTGTGTTTACTACTAAACACTAAATAGATTAAAAATATTTGTTCACACATTAAAACAAAATGTCAATTTAGTCGCCAAAACTTATCACAATTTTTGTCATTTTATTACACAATTAAATATAAGTACATACAGTGTAGTTCTTATA